AGGATAAGGGATTGAAGGACATAGACTTAGTGGGGGAGAGAGTAGGCCATGGTTGAAAAGACGGCAGATTTCCCTCATTTATTGACGGTGATGATAAGACAAAAAAGGGCCATAGGCCAAACGATTAATGGGATGGATCGTAACGGAAGTTGACACTTACAACGCTGGTCGATAATGATGCTTTACGTACGCATGTCAAAACCATTATAACATAGAAATACATATATGAAGAGCACATAGGAAAAATGACGGTAGCCACACATTGGATATTGTGAGGGTGACTCTTTTTTTTAAAACTTGTGGACTCACAACTTCATATTTGTTTGACTGATGGTTTATTGTTAAGTGTTATTGAATGGGAAATCTTACAACAATAATCAACCAACAGTTGAACAGAAATACAGTTATGAGTCAACAAGTGTTCAAAATTGGCACCCTACCGATTTTCAGTTTGTGACTACAGTCATTTTCCCCTGTAGTGTCCATATATAATTCCATATAAACATACAAATAACATCTTTACTTTCAAATGAAGAAAATCTGCCACGTCAGCGATTTCCTGTCGGAACGGGCAACAACAACCCTTGCACTGTAACACCATTTCTTCTTTTGAAATTTGATGAATTAATGCAATTTTCTTTTAGCTAGCATTTCTAGTGGATCACCCCGTCGTCTTCAAAATGTCAAAAGATAATGCAGTTAGACTTATTTATTGTAGGCCAAATGACCCATACCCCCAAAGATTCCCCACAATGTTTGCAGTAGAGAATCTTTGGTACCACTCCACAATCCTAAGCGAGCGACGTTGACTGTCAGCAAAAAGCTGTCTGCAGTGTAGAGTTGTTTGTGTCTTTTTAAAATATGTTTTAAGATTTTCTTATCGCTGCGGCCTATCTTTCAAACGCTCTTCAAAAGTACAGTGTATGTATCAGCAAGACGTCTTGGGCCGTGCCGTGATAAAACAATTGTACTCAAAGCGCTAGTGACCTACAAACTTCGGTATTGTTATCGATAACGTGTGCGTGCTTCACGCAACAATCGACACAGATTGGGATAATTTGGTTTCTTTTAAGCACAAGGAAGCTGTCCCAAAAATGCTGTTTTGAAAAAATCGAGGTAGGGCAATGCCCACTTTTGGTATAGGTCAAGATTTCTGGAAACCTCCGAAATCTGGGTCAGCCCGCTTGTGCTTAAAAACGACCAATTAGGAGGCGGGCTTCTAGTGTACTTGTGAGAGCCCACCCTGAATGAGAGGGATACAAGAACGTCCCAACAGAAAGACTGAGATGATCGATAAAAAGTACCCCCCAAACAGGAATCGAACTCGAGTCTTACGCATACGTACGACGACGATGAGCTTTTGGCGCTCATATGACCTTGTACAGTTGCGAACGCCGTAAAACCTCTACAAAAAAAAAAAAAAAAAAAAAAACATGAGCTTTCGTTGGGAATGACCCCGGACAAGTCAGTCTGTGCCGTGCCATGGCGCCTTGGCAGAAGTGGTAACACTGTCTCTGGTTTGATTGTTACCATTTCATATCTCCACCTATACTTTCCCCTCCCCCTTTCCCCCAACACTCATCCTTTTTTGTGCCAATCATATCAACGCCTACACCCCCCTTCTGTCCCATTCACATAAACACCTATACTCCACCCCCTCCCCTTTTCCCCTTCACAATCATATCACCACCTATATAACACCTCTCGTTCCCGATCCCAATCATATAGACAATGA